CAAAGTCAATAAAAACATAAGCTTTCTAATTATAATTTATTATCAATACTACAAATATTCAAAAAAAAAATTAGATATTTATATATAATATTTTGCTTAATATATGAACTTTAAGAGAAGATATTGAAATATTTTTTTGAATATCTAGTTATTAAAAAGGCTAATGAAAATATATGACAAAAATGAATAAAAAGTTTAGTTATTATATTAGTAAAGAAATTAAAAACAAGAAAGAAGTTTGATTTGTAACTGATAAATAAATAATTAATTAATTAAATAAGATTTAACAATTTGATAAAAATATTTTCAATATTATTTATGAATATATAGAAAAAAATAAGATCATCTTTTTAAAGAGTTATTTTAAAGAACAGTTCAAAATTCCTTGAGTATTAATATATAGTATAATTAACAAGTTTTATTAAAAAATACAAAAAAACTTCAAAAAGAAAATTTGAACAATTGTTATATCAAAATAATAAAATATAAAAAGAAGTAAATATTATTAAAAATAAAAAAAAATAAAAAAATCCAAATATAGATCAATTAAGATTATAAGAAATTTATAGGATTTCTAGAAGTGTTAAATTAAAAAAACAGAAAAAAAAAAAGAAAAAAGAATATATGAAATTATTAAAAAATAAATTTGTATAAAATTAAATGGTTTAATTTTTAACTATAGATAGAATTTAGAATAATCTATAATAATAATCTGTAAGTGATAATTTTATTGATTTAAGGATTTATTTTAATTAATAAAGAAGTGAAATATAATTTCTTAAGTTATATTTAAAAAAATAGTTTTTTGATAATAGGTGAATTAGTATATGAAAGTCTTAATATTTTGTAAAATATCTAATATATATACAATAAAGATATATCATGCTGATCTAATTGCAAATTTTTTTAAAAAAAAAATTAAATTATGATTTTTTTGAATGAATTTTTTAAATGATAAAAATATTTTATTAGAAAAAAATTAAATTTTACAAGTTTTTATTTAAATTAAATAAAGTTTTAAAAAGATTTTTTTAATTTAATAAATTTTTTCAATATAATATTAATACAAAAAATATAATAAGTAAATTTATATATTGATAAAAAAAAAATAAGCTTTTCAAATATTTTTAAAAAAATTTAATTATTTAAAAAAATTTTTTTTTAAAATAATTCCAAATTAAATAATATTTCAATTAAATAAAACTTTTTTTGTGTAAAAATTTTTGAATTAATTAAAAATCTTTTAAATTATTTATTTTTTTATTTTTTATTTTTATAATTTATTATTTTTTGAAATAATTTATAATAACAAACTATTAATAATAATCTTGATAAGTATAGATCAAATACTAATCTATCAGAAAAGTTTCTAAATTTAATTTAAAGTACTAATTAAGACTTTGTTTTGTTTTATCCAAACTAACTTAATGAACTCGTTATATTTTAAATAGTATTAAATGATAGTCAATATAATATTATATATGTTTATTTAATGTCTCAATAAAAAAAAAAATTTTTTTTTTTTTTTTGAAATTAGCATATTTATCTAACTTAATTTTTTATTATAACCAAATATTTTAAGGATAAAACAAAGAAAATTAGTGAGCATTATTAACTAATAAGTCACACTCAAAAAGATAAAGTTTTATCAGGTGATGCCGCACATTTTGACTGCCAAAGTACCATTCATTAGGATTCAGCTTGTTGCCGTGGACGATCACCTCCACCGCCGCCTCCGGTTCGCCTGGGGCCACGAGGACCACGCTCAGTTAACGGATTAAGTGCCACAGGAGTCACAACAGTAATTCCATCCAAATTTTCATGGTTCAGTGATTTAAGGAGTTCCTATTCCGAAAGAATATATATTAATTTTCATAAATATGGTAGAAAATTATACTATTTCATACCTTGGTATCAGCATCAACTTCAATGTTATCTACTCCCAAAGCAGAAACATCGGGAACATAATTATCTTTTCGTTCACGTTCTTCTTCTTGTAATTTGAAGGAAATACCCCGAACAGGACCACGTTGGATGCGTTTCATTAAATGCGTTGTGAAACCGGCAATCTTGTTTCGAAGTTTCTTAGACCTATGTACAGAATTGATATAATAAATAAAAACACTTTCGAAAAAACTTATAAATAGAAAATTAAGAAACCTACGCGATTATAGCGACTTCATCACAGATCTAATTAATCAAGATTAAATTTACTACTAAAGTAAAACGATTAATTTGACGTCAACGGTGTAACTCACTTTTTTATTAGTTTGGAAGTCAAGGGTAAGGCGAGGATAATATTTTTCAATGATGACACGAGCTGCCTAAAAAATCAATCAATGAATTTCTGGTGAAAAAAAAAAATGCCCCCAGTAATGTAATATTACTAAATACCTTCTTGACAGTCTTTGTTCTGACACGACCCTAGTGGAATCAAGAGAAAAATTTTTTGATTAGGTATTTGCAAAATCTTTAATTTATCTTTTGGTAACAAGGAGTGAAAGGGGATTTAGGAGTATTGACTTTGGAATATTACAGGGATCGAATATTTACAAAGGCAATGCAGGAGGGAATACCCACCATTTTGACTTTTCAGTTTCAAGCAGAAAGAATTTTTTTTTGATCTCGCATACGTATTTATAGATCACATGTGCTCATGTGCTGAGGATCGACATATATATTCTCCGATTGGCTAGGACAATATACACCTCAAGACTCTTGTTATTACGGTAATATGATCGAAGAATTCGAGGAAGAAACTTTTGAAGAAGAAGATATTGATGTATGAATTTTTTGTCATGGAGTTAAATCAAGTAACTATTTTGGATCTTTTGATTTATTCCCTTGATTTGATCACTTCTAGTTCTTCGAATTCAAACAACTGAATAAGAATGCGCTGAGAGTGCAACTTTCAGAAGACATTTTTGATGAAAAGACACCTTCCTATTATTCTCTCCTTGCAATATCTAACATATATGGATTGTTTGTGGCTGCGACGACAAGGGGTTGCATTTTTTCCATAATTATATCATTACCAATACTCCTATAAGATAGATAAGTTGACTCATTAAAACATATTTAAAATTGCGCATTTCAGGTTTCATTTACGCGTCCACACAAGATTTACACGATAAATTCAAGTCATCTGGTGCTGATTTAAAGGAAAACCTTACTCAACAAACTCACGTTGATATACTTGAAGGACGCGTTACGTGTCTTCGGTTTTCTTCTGATCAACTGACATTAGCTGTTGGAATTGAAGGCGGTCACGTCTTATTTTATGATGTTACCCGGTTCGCTGCAAAGGTACTTTCTTTTTTTAATTTAGATATACACAAATTTCTCTTTATTTAAAGTTATTATATTGACAGAAAATTTCATTTTAAATAGTCATCCACAATTAAACCATATCAACGAATGTCCTTCGATGAAGAAATTAAAGACATCCGACCAAACCCAGGCGAAAAATTCAGTGTTATTGCTATATTACTCGTATCAGGGAAAGTTCATGTTAAAGATTTTCTGAAGAACGTCCAAGTCGGCATCATACAAAGCGATAAAATTGGAGACCGGACCACTACTAGTAAGCTTTAAGTTCTTTAGTCGAAAATTATTAGAACGAACTCGTTTTGTTAATTTTTGTGAAACTTCAGTATGCTGGTCACCAAAAGGAAAACAATTGGTGTGTGGTAATCAAGCAGGAAAACTTATGCAGTATACTCCGGACGGAACATCCAAAGCTACTATCCAGCCACCTCCAGATTTACAAAATCCTGTCTATTTCGGTAATTATTAATTGTTTATTATGTTATTTTCATTGTATCCGTTAATTTACCTCTGATTACCCTAAAGTTCAGAATGTTCTCTGGTTGGAAAATGCGTTGTTTCTCGTTGCTTACTTTCCGGTCGTTCAAGAAGAATACTCTGAACATGAGGTTTATGTATTGTCTCGAGAGACAGTAAATAAAACGATTTATTACAAATGTCCATTTATTTGCAGTCCATCGGATCGTGAAAAGGCTCCTTATTTGTACATGGAAACAATAAAAGATTGGTAATTTTTTTTTTTTCTTTCTTTTTTTTTTTTTAATATATATATTATATATATTTTAAAAATTTATATTGCCAATATCTAGGGGTTCGAAATTGAAAACACTTGTATTTTGTGCAAGCGCCAATTCAGCCGACATAAATCTTATTGCACGCGATGAATCAGATAATTGGGCCAGTTGGATCCCTTCTGAAACAGATCGTGCTGCACTTCCATTATCAGATATTCATGATCAGGACACATTGCCGATTGGGATAGCACTTGATTTTACATCCACCACTCCCTGGACTACTCGATTGGATGCTGAGGAGAATGTACAAATACCACCAGTTCCTATACTATATATTTTGAATGATGAGTGTGACATTATAGGATATCATAGCTTTTACAAGGATGCATTTATTGCAAAAGAAACTACTCCTGGAATGTTGGTGCCTAAAGTTCTTCCTTCTTCCGGACACATATCAGAAGCCAATCTCACTAAAAATACAATACAACCTCGTGTTGAAAACATTCCTTCTATACCACCAGTTAAAAAGGACTTCTTTACTCCGCCAGCTCCAGTTGCTAATGAAGAAAAACATAATATAATAAACAATAAAACTCCATCCATTATCAACGCCCCTCCTGTATTACCAACTATCACCAAGCCTGTGCAAAATAAAATAACACCATTTCCCAGCGAGATTCCTAGAATAAGCTCTCAGATCAAATTGCCACAAGTTAGCGCATCGCCCCCGCCTGTCATTTCTCAGATAAGGGCGCAACAAGTGGGTGCATTACCTCCGCCCGTCATTTCTCAGAGCTCTCAGAAACCGGTTTCCAATCAACGATTGACGAAAGATGAGTCGGAGTCAAAGATTCCACATGCTATTAGATTTAATGCTACCAAGAGAGCTATTGAAGAGGTTGATACTACTTTGCTTATGTTTCACTTGGCATTTTATGAGATCTAAATTTATTTTTACTGTTGTCATTGATAGCTTCATATGCGGATGGAAGAGGTGGAGACAAAGTACATTTCGAAATACCTTGCCCGGTCAAGTGAACAGAATTTTGATGATATCAATTCTTGGACGATTGGTGATTTTCCCACGATTATTTCGGAGACGAAGAGATTGATAAATGAAGCTGATTACAATGTTCAGGCTTTAGCTTGTTTGGAACGTCAAACAAGTGACCTCTTTCATGAAGTTAGTCAAGGTTGTTATCATTGTTATTTTATGAGATTTTAATTTTTTCACATAATGATTGGACTGTGATTTTCCCAACAGATGTTACCAAGACGAAGAAGGAAATTGAATACTTAATGTACACCCCTCCCAACATAATTCCAGTGAGCCGCCGTGGAATGTTGCAAACACGCATTAAAGACAAACTTGTGTCCACTTTCAAGGTTTAATATCATCGGATTTTTATTTGCTTTTATCTCTTGCACAGACTAATTTACATACTGCCTTATAAAAAGACTGTTAAAGAGAGTGTTAAAGATTTGGAAAAGCAGTTGAATGTGCTACATGAACAAATTCAAGAAAAAAAGAATCGTAATGTATTAAGGTAATTTTTTTTTGTTTATTATTGTTGTTATTTTACGATGGCTTGGCTCCTTTTTCATGTCGACTTCTTCATTATTCTGACTATTAGACCATCTCCATTGGAATATATTGACCGGTCGATTCATAACATTAGCAAGAGCTTATATCGTAACGCGTCTCAGATTGATAACTTGAGCGCACATCTAGATAAGATCTCGTTGAGTATGTCGATAGAGAACGAAAGTTACAATGTTGAGCCTTCGCTTGTTTCTGGTCAGATCGCCAAAGAAGCAAAGTCCATTATGACACCTACACGAAATATTAATATTTCGTATTCAGTGGACGCAGCAAAAGCAACGGCTACTTATTTGAACAAAGAACGTCTTTATGAAGAGCTTAAAAATTTGAATAAACTCAAGAGAAAATTCCCGGTTAAAACTAATCTCTTTGACGAAAAAACTTTAGGTTGGTCTTTATCATTTATGTATTGGATGTGTCTTTATCTTATTTTTCTTATCTCTCAAAGTTACTTCAGAAATTGGCGAAAAGAAACCAATGTCTCCTATTATGATTTCTCCAAAAAGAAGTCCAAGCCCTGTTAAGGTTCACGGTACGCCAACACATTTACGTGAACCAGAAGTTACAAATACACCGGGCTCTTTTACAAAGATTTCAAGTCCTCTAAGAAAAATAATATCCACTTCTGATCAAGACCTTTCGTCCGAATTATTTAATAACGACATTTCCATAAGGAATATCAATATTACTAAATCCTCTCCTGAGATAGAAGAGGGGGGCATACTCTCCCCCAAAATTGTAGGGCAATCATTGGAAATAGGAAGCGATAATTCTGATTATGAGAACGAGCTTGATGAAACTGAACATTATGAATTTCCAGAGGAAATCAAATCCGGTATACCTGATAAATCTAATTTCCCGGATAATACAAGCCCTCGATCTGATATTGAACCTCGCTTGAACTTTGGAACCTCTGAGATCCAAAATTTAAATAATGTTCAAATTTCCTCGAACGAGAAATTAATAGAGTCTTTGGATATGAGGAATCTAGGAAAATCAGAAGACCAAGACCGGGATGATGACTCCATAAAAAATGATTTTGACCGAATTGTGAACACCAATACATCAAGGATTCCCAAGACTTCTGTAGGGTTTGGACTAAATTCTATAATTACAACTCCTTCCGATAATTTTGCGGCGGATTCATTCGAGCCAGAAGAACCATCTTCCCAGTCAACCATATCCCCTCAACACCCTGCGCAAGAATTAATTCAGGATGAAGAATTACGTAATTCAAGTGCTCAAAACATCTCTCAAGATTCTATAGATTCAAAACTTAGTAAAAGTTTCTCGACCGATGTATCAAAATTCTCTCGAGTTTCCGAACTCAGTCAGTACTATGAAGAAGTTGACGAAGAATCAAACACTGATATAACTCCGTCGGAAAGAGAATCATTTTCTGTACTCTCAACGGAGAACGCGACTGTAGAATTAAGTACTGATAATAATGATGAGAATGTTCAATCGACTTCTGAAACAAAAGGCGAACTAGATTCATCACCACGAATTGAAGTTAAATCTGCCCCTGATGAAGAAATTGTGAACTTAAACGCAGAAGCTACAGAATTAAGTGAAATGACTGAAAGTTGTTCTTTCGAATTGGGGAAGCCGTTAAGTACTACCAGTTTATCAAATCAGGCTAGTGGATTTGGTACCTTTGGAGCTTATTCATCATCAACAAGCAAACCCAGTTTATCAAATCAGACCGATGGATTTGGCACCTTCGGGGCTTATTCTTCATCAACAAATAAACCCAGTTTTGCATTTGGTGCTCCTTCCTCGCCTTCACCATTCGGTTCAGGATCAACATTTGGTAGTAGTGGTGATACAAGTATTCCACCAGCATTTGCAACACCTCCGACTGCCGTAAATGCATTCGGACAATTGCCATCTGGCAATTTGCAACAACCACCAGCGTTTGCTCAACCTTCTCTTGGCCAATCCGTTACGCCGAATGCTTTCGGGCAGCCGGCATTTGGTCAGACAGGATTTGGGCAAACACCAAATTCTACATTTGGTCAGCCAGCATTTGGTCAACCGGCATTTGGTCAACATGGTTTTGGTCAGAGACCTGCATTTGGAGCATCTGCTTCATTTGGTAGTTCTACTTTAAAACCCCCAAGCGGTGGAGGTTTTGCGCGATTCGCGAGGTAAATCCTTAAATTTTATCTAATCGTTGTGATATTGATCTAAATATGATTGATATATTTATATATATATTTATATTTTATACAGCGGTAATTCATTTGGAGGTAGTGGTTTCGGCGATTCAGGAAATTCTACTAATAGGTTGTATTCCTCTTCTATACACATTGTCTATAATAATTAGTGTCATAAGTTTTTTATTAATATTATTTTTTATGTTAGTACCACGAGTCCTTCGTTTACTCAATACCGAGATTAACTTTACGAAGGTATAACCTTATTTCAGGTTTTAATTTGGATTCATAAAGATTTTGATACCGAAACTTCGAAGTTGGCTTGTTTATCATTATCATTTGTCCCGCATTATATTAGAGAATAATTGTCTATAAATTATGAAAATAGCGGGTTATTGTTGAAGTTAACTGTCCAATTAGATGCGCAACCAAGACAGTCCGTAAAGAAGTGCATTACTAAAAGCTTGATTTGTTCACTAAATTTTGATTGCATAAACATTTACATAATTGTACAAAATCGCAAAGTATATATTCAAGGTAAAATTCGATTAGATTCTTGACCGGCCTGATAGAGAAAATTCAAAATGCTTTAGTCTAAGGAGAAATTTTAGAATCAATTTCATTTCATTTTAAATTTGGATAATGTGTATACATGAGAGATTTTTACTGTACATTAATATATTTAGATTAATTTTGCCCACCACCTATTTACTTAACAATATTATCTTTTTACTTTTGATAGGGACTTACATGCTTGAGAGGATTTATAGGGGAATAATTCTTATTACTAGTTTAAACTATCTAATTAAGACTGGTTTTATTGCAATATAAAGGTTATATATTTGTAAAAATTATTATAACCATTGAATATTTTTATATAATTTCAAATAACTATTAACTTTTTGTTATTACTTATATTTGTTTAAGACTATTTATTTAAATATTTGGGTTAAAATATTTTTATATTAGGCAAGATCTGTAAATTTATAATAAGTGTAATGTAGTATTCCTAGGTTAATATTACAAAATTCAAAGTTTTATATTATATAAAAATCAAATAATAATTATTATTTATAATTAAATAAATTTATCAAATAACAAATCAATATAAATTCTCTATTCAGCTTTCTAGAAATATAACAGAAGAAGAAAAAGACTCAAAATGAATGAAGTTTCAAGATAATATAGTAGATATAATAAGTAATTGAATATTCAAAGGTTTTAAATGGTTTGGTTTTTAATCACAATTAGAATTTCAAGAGATCTATAGAGATGAGCTATAAGCAATGATCTAAGTGACTAGAGGATAATTCAAGCCATAAAGAGAATGAAATATCATCTCCTAAATTGTATCTAGAGAAGGTTAAACTTTGTAGATGGGTGAATCAATATGTGAAAGTTATAAAATATATAAATATCAAATATGTTTACAATAAAATGAACAAGCCATATTGGCCTGACTATGAATAAAAAAAAAACCAAAAAACAAATCAATATAAATCTGTGAAACAATAAAGCAGTGAGTATATTCCTGGGTAAAAATGAATTCTTAAAAGGAGAGGTAAGAACAAAAGTCAAATGTTCTTTACTAGAAAAAATTAAAATTTTTAAATTAATATCTATAAAAAAACTATCTATAATTGTTCTTCATTATCTAAATTATTGATTTATAATATTTTTTATCATTTGTTCCTATTAAAGTAAATAGCTATAAATTTTGTTCATCAAAAAGGAACATAAGTGATTTATGAAAATTTATATACTAAATACTTTAGAGATCTATCATTATACCTAGATCACTATTTGTAATTTGAATTATAAAACTCTTTCCACTAATCCTCTGACCACATACAAAAAAGACGTTTGCAAGAAGTTTTCATACTTCTAGACTAATAAAGTTTTACCACTCTCCTTAAATCAACTTGAAGAAACTTCAAGAACTCATCAACTACCTCTACTCCTCTTGCTTACTATCCTCTTCAAACAAAAACTTGACTTCTAGTGATCTTAAAGGTCAAGCAATACCTTTTCTACCCAAGGCAAGAAAGTTCTGAAAGGAAGAAGAACCAATGTGCCGCTATCTCACACTGTAGAGAAACACCACAGAAGTGTTGTGATGACAAGAGACATTTTTTCCACTCTCCAGTCATGTTTTGCTTCTCATAGTGCTCGTTCTTGATTTTTTCTGGGGGATTTTGCCTACCTCAGTTTGACCCTAAATTTTGAGTAGCACAAAGTATCTCACACCGTAATTGGACAGACAGAGCTCACATTAGTAAAAGAAGTAAACAAGCTCCTATTGGTCACATCACGTGTCTGAATGCATTTCCTCAGCTTTATAAGAACCTGGGGTTCACCATAAGTCATTGGGTCTGATACAGGTGGATACAGGACACTCCCACATTACCTCATTGGTTCCTTCAAGAAAGAGTCCGTCTGACCATGGTAAAGGTTACAAAATACTACAACTGGGTTTTATAGTTGTAGTCACCTACTCCTGGCCACTGAATATGTTCTCTTTAGCTCTGTCGAATAGGTAAAGATTTGAAACAAAGTCCTTGCGGCAAAGTTGGGTTTCATGATAGGCGAGGTATAGGGACCAAATTTTTCTTTTGGAATGACGTGTCTTACCTGAGCACATGCGTTAGGGGGAATCTAGGATAATCGATGAATCTTCTTTCCTGGTGCGCGAATGAGATTGATCTGAGTAATTCTCCCCGACAACAGGCCATCCGGTAGATTAGAGTGATTAGGATTTTACAATACGGAGATGCTGAAAGCAGCTGAGAAACAGGCAATACGCCCTCGATCAATGAAGCCCTCGAAGAGTAACCAGTCTACAGAATCGAAATGGTAGTAGTAGCGTAAAATTGTAATTCTCAAGTATAATTCTAGGAGTGTTTTATTGACAATAATGTTCTGTATTAGCATTTTGTATTTTATGTGAGATCCCAATAAAACAAGGCTGGGTTGCCGTTTCAAAAAAAAAAAAAAAAAAACCTAGGTCACTATTTGTAAGTTACTAGTTCAATTCCATTTAAGAACAGTTTCCACAATATAAATCATATTATACAAAATATATAATCATTAGTCACATATAATTTGTATATAAAATGATCTATCAAACTTTATTATTTAACCATAATATAATAAATTAAGTTACATAGATTTTGATTAGTTTTAGTACTAAGAAAGAAATCATAATATTCTGTCATCTGAAATACATGAAGATATCAAAGAATATCAAGAAAAATAATAATTAATTTATAATTCTATCAGCCTTATATGAAATTCACCTTTTCTCAAAAATTTCATTTTCATGGAAGACTAGAATACTTCAGTCATCTGTATCAGCTACAAATATAAGAGTTGAATAATATAAAAGATCAAAATTGCTAACTATTAATAACTACTAGAGAATAAATCTTACAAGCTATCAATAGAAAGTAATGAAATTGAATAGTCATAATAGAATATTTGTAAAAATGAATAATATGTTTAGAAAAAACTATTGGTTTCATTTTATCAAAAAAAGTATCTACAAGGCTATATTT